ATAATAATCATGTTATCAGTCTGCTTTTTCTGTTTTTCTAGGTTTGATGTAGGCCCAATTCTCAAGCAGGAAGCCATCTCTGTGCCACCCAACAGCACTGCCAAGGACTTGGAAGCAGTGTTGTCAAGACTGGGTGCTGGCATGGTACGGTGCTCCCATCTTCCGCTGCTTTTTGTGCATTTCATAGTTTTCCTCAGTGGTTCTGGTGAAAAGGATATGTGTATGACCTGGAATCTTTAAACTTACAAAACAAAATGTGGATTTTATCCTTGGCTTCCTCAGCATGAGCCTGGTATTTGTGATCACATGGAGGTCATCTGAGAGCCTGCAGAGTGAAGTGGGCCATCACCTGCTGTCCTTTCATGGCATAGTGCAGCCTGGGTAGCCCCTCCCTCGTCCCCTCTTCTCGCTGTCATGCGCACCTGGCCCCCCATCACACTGAGCTCATGGTCCCTTCCGGGTGGCTCTTAGCTCATGTGCTTCTTCAGTGCCAGGTGCCAGCCACTTGCCTCTGGAAGCTCTCAAGACCAACAGGAGGGTCTGGCAAATGCTCAAGGAATGGATTCGGAGTTTTACTTTGAGCTAGTTCATTTTGTACAGTGGAAAGTTCCCTTCCCGGGACAGGGACGGTACTTCCTGTTCAGGGCCCTCTTTTGGAAGCCACCTCATCATAGTGGCTGCCTTCCCTTCAGCCTGGGCTGGTGTGCCCGGACCGTTGCATCTCGTCTTCCCAACAAACATTTGAGGAAGTTGTTGCTGTTGATTGTCCTATAGATCAAGACTCCGAGGGCCACAGACAAGTGTAATAATTTCCACACGGAGACAGCTCCTAGGTAATTGGACTGGGAGCCAACCCAGAGCCTCGTGAGTGTGGGGCCTCAGCGTCTTCCCTGGGGTGACAGTGTGGACAGCTGAGAGCAGGCTGTCCTGGTGCTGACGGCTCACGTGGCCCAGCAACGCCCAGCACCGTCTAGAAGCAAATGCGTGATGTGTGCAGAAGGGGGTGCGGGCTCGGGTCACTTTGCAACTGGCCATGCGTCTCTGCTTTGTTCTGCTCATCGAATACATCATGTGCGCTCTCTCTTTTTGTAGCTTATTTCAGTTTTGAAAAATCTGCCTGAAAGTCTGAGCAATGGGAGGCAGCAGCCAGCCGAGGGGGTGACGTACGGTGAGTGGCCGTGTGCGGAGGTCCCGTTCGTGAAGGCGCCTGAGCAGCTGGGCCGCCTGCCTGGGCTTCTGCCCTGGTTTTGAGCTGTCACGCTCTCCTTTCCGTGGCGGGTCTCAAGAGCAGTTGTGAAGGTTCCTCCCTCGCAGCAGGTAGCCTCAGGAAGGACTCAACTTTTTTTTTCAGTGTTTTATTTTACAAAGTATTAAACACAGAGATAAAGTGAAAGGCTAGTGTAACAGACTTTAGTTTACCTGAGTTTGCAGTTATTACTATTTGATCCTATTTTTTTGTTGTTGTTATTTGGCTTTTTGAGACAGCATCTCTCTGTATTTCAGGCTGGCCTTGAACCATGTAACCCAGGTTGGCCTTGAACTCACGACGAGCTCCTGCCTCAGCCTCCTGAGTGCTGAGAGTCCGGGAATGTGTCATCATGCCCAGCTGTGATCTTATTTTCTGTGTGTATGTTTAGTATATATAGTTTAGGATTGTGTGGTCTTTTGCAAATTTGAATGAGAACTTTTGTTTCTGAGTCCTTCAGGACACTTTTGCTAAGAAAAGAAACCATTCCCTGGTAGTCTCTAATAACCCTGTCCATAGAGACATTTTCCTCATTGTGTACAAATATGTTTGATAGCTGGCTTTCATTTTTTATATTTTAAGGTAAGATCCAGGGAGTGCATTTCTGAAGACTGCTTGAATCTGTTGTTTTCTCCAATTACAAATCTAATTAACTGGCTCCCAATAGATGTAATTTTCTTTGAAAAAAAAAAATTTTTTCTTTTAATTTAGGACAGAATATCCAGAGTCCCACTGCGCAGATCAGACTTGTAGTGATCCTCCTGTTTATAGCCTCCCAAGTGCTGGGATTACAAGCGCACGCCACCACGCCCAGTCTCAGTCACCATCGCAGCTCACCCCTGGGGCAGGGGTGGCAAAGCAGTCCTGGGAATCAAACTCCCAAGGCCCTCTGTCTGCCTCAGCAGGCACTTTAATCCACTGAGCTATTTGGCTGGCCCTTGAAAAACATTTTAAAGTAAAAAAAGTAGTGACACACGGGGCCGGGGAGCTGGCTCAGTGGAATAAGCACTTACCCTGCAAGCGCAATGGCCTGAGTTCAATCCCCAGTTCCACAAAAAAAAGAAAAAAGAAAAGAAAGTAGTGACACTGTAGCTTAGCAGTAGATTAGTTTAGTAGTCGATTACTTGCCTAGCATGCTTAAGGTCCTTGATTTCTAGCACTGCCAATTTATTTAAAAAATTAGTGTTAGTATCTGGTCATTAACGGTTACTATCTCATGTTGTCTCTTTAAAATTATTATCTTTCCTCCTCTACCATGTCATTGATATTTTGAAGAGACCAAGCTGGTTGGCTAATTTGTTTCATTGTAGTTTGATTTGTTTCCTGTCTCTAATTTCCTATAAATTACAAATTTTAAAGGTTTAATCAGGGTCAGGTTTTTGGAAAGAATATTCCATAGATGCTCCTGTGTTTTAGTACCATTTGTTTGGTTTGGGGATTACTTTTTATTTTTCTTTGCAACTTAATTTTTTTTTTCCCAGAATCAGGGATTGAACTCAGGCCCTTGTGCTTGCCAGGCAAGCACTTATTCTACTGAGCCATCTCCCCAGCCCCTTAATTTTATTTTTGAATGTGTAAAATATACACCTGATTCGAACAGTAAAACCATTTAAAAGGATAAACTCAAAAGAAGTTTTGCTTTTGCCCCCAGTCTTAAGAATGTCACTTTAGGAGGCCAGGGAGATAACTCAGTAGAATAAGCACTTGCCTGGCAAGCGCAAGGGCCTGAGTTCAATCCCCAGTTCCACCAAAAAAAAAAAAAAAGAATGTCACTTTAGTAAACTGCATCAGGTGACAAAGGACAAGTGAAGCTCAGTGTGACCACTTGGTGGAGCTGGTGACCACCAGGTGTTTCCAGAGGAAAGGAATCTCCTTTGTCCAGAGCAGGCTGTCAGTCTGGGAAAGCTGCGGCAGGATGCAAATATCCTTGTTTATTTGCCATGCAAGTGTTATAGTTCCATATTGCTCCTGGGAGTAAAATTAAGGAGAAGATTGAGGATTTCTTTATAATTTTTTTTTAACATTAAAATGCATCCTACCAAGGGTATACAATCATATTAGCATAGTGAAAATCTGTGGGCCAGAATTATTTTTTCTATGCAATTGTTATACCTTTGGAGGTCTTGTTTATTTATTTTGATTGACTTTTTTTTTT